AGCCGTGGGCGCGCTGGAGGAAGAGCTGCCGAGCATCTCCTGGGAAGCGTAGGTCAAGTAGAGAAAGCCATCCTCATCCTTGTTGTCACGGTACAGCTCCTGCATGGTGACGGCCATGTTCGGCAAGCCTTTGTTGTTCACCAGCAGGTAGAAGGTCTGGGAGGAGGCCAGGCAGAGCCGCGTCCTGCCGAGGCGACGGCAGCGTGTGGGCGAGCGGCACCCGGGGAGGACCCGTCCATGGGGACACGGTGCTGGTCACCCCCCCGCCCCGGGCCAACCACCCACCAGCACCCACAGGCATGAAGAGGGGTGCGAGGGCACAGCCAGCTGCTCCCCAAAACATCTGGAAGGGCCAACCCTCAGCTCCAAGCTCTCACCTCCGTCCGTCCTGAACCGTGGAGATGTTGGTTCTTTTGAGGGGGGTGGGATTTCAAGCACAGGGGTTTCAAATGAGCTGCAACAGTGCTGCTCGTTTGCAGGGCTGCTGATCACCTACCCCCAATTAACGATTCACACGTGCTGCAGGTCCCCAGCTAATTGTCCCCTTTTATCCCAGCAAGGGTGGAGGAACGCTGCTGTAAGGAATCCCCGTGCACTGGCAAGCAAATGCTCTTTGCTAATTGCGACGCCTAATTGCATCAGGCTAAGCCTAAAGACTTGCCCACTAGACGAATGCTCTTTGCTAATTGCGACGCCTAATTGCATCGGGCTAAGCCTAAAGACTTGCCCACTAGACGAATGCTCTTTGCTAATTGCGACGCCTAATTGCATCGGGCTAAGCCTAAAGACTTGCCCACTAAGCGCTTGCCAAAGTGGCCTCCAAGCCCAGCTTGGTGCACAGGACCAGCTCCACCCAGACTGGTCCGGGGCTGGACCCAGCGAGCCTGGAGCCCTCCGCGTCGTTAACCGCTTACCGCAGGGTGACAGCGAACTGGGAGAGGGGCAGGTCCTGGGACACCAGAAATTTGGTCCTGTTCAAGGGCGGCAAGGTCTTCTCCTTCTGGTAGCGTTCCACAACCACCTGCAGCGAGGAGAAGGTGCTGGAGGGGGACTCAGGACCCGGGAAGGCTGCGGGACCACCCCGAGCAGCAGAATCGAGACCCACGAGGTCTTTAGCAAAGACCCTCACAGCTTCCCTTTGCACGGGCACGAGGAGAGCGGAGCGCAGCCCTTACCGGGATCTTGTTGGGATATTTGATCCGGATCTCCGTCACCTCATGCATCCTGGTGGCTGCGGAAGGGAAAAGAAGGAACGATAAGCTCAGCCCGTCCCCGTGTCTCTGCTCCCCTTTACCCCCAGTAACGTACCGAGGCTTTTCCTCTGCTTGAAGGGGCGAGAGCTGCTGTCGCCTGGTTGCATCTTCTGGGAGGAGGAGGAGGAGGAAGCAGCTCAAGGTGGAGGCAGGATCTGAGCCCTACCATGGGCAGCTGCTGCTCCAGAGCTCCTAATATAGGCTCATCCTGCCCCACCTGGGAGGCGCTGGGATGCTCAGCAGGGTGCTGGGCTAGGGAAGGGAAGGGAAGAGCCGGGGGTTTGCTCCTGACAGATGTTTTAGGAGCAGCTGGCTGTGCCCTAGCACCCAGCCCCGCACCCATGGGTGCCGTTGGGTGACTGGCACCAGAGGGAAGCGACGCTGAAGGGCGGAAGGGACCGGCGACGTAAAAAAAAAATCCTTCATTTTCGCACCCGGCGCGGGACCCGGGCGCGGGCGCTGCCGTCACCTGGCAGATATCGGCATGCGTTATCCTGACAGTTTAATTCCTGCGCTATCTCTGGTTTGATTTAACGAGGGGCTGGTGTCAGGTGGGATCCATAAAGCTGCCGAAAAGCCGGCTCATTCGCACGCTGCGGGTATTTTTCACGCCGTGCCAATTCCCTGGGTCGGGAAAGAGGCAGCTTTTGAAAACAAATTAGACCCTATTATGCCAATTAGACCCCATTTGTCTTTTTTTTTATAT